GCTTACTCTTTTCTTTCTTTTTCTTTCTTTCTTTTTTTCCCCCCTGTAGCCCCAGCTGGCCTGGAACTCAATATGTAGACCAAGCTGGCCTCCAACTCACAGAGATCCACCTGCCTCTGCCTGCCAAGTGCTGGGACTAAAGCCATGCACCACCACCCCTGGCAGTTAAATATTCTTAAAGCTGGTTAATTTGGGTTGTACCAGAAACTATGGCAGCAGGGCACTTTCCCAACTGCCACATATGTGTGCTAAGAAATGTCTGCCTCCTCAAAGACTCTCTTCATTACATCATTTGCACTGTGGTTTTGAAGTTGTTCCCCTACCTTTCCAAGGGCTTTTCAAGAGGCACATGGGAAGAAATATCCTTTGAAGGTCTGGTCCATCATGAGGGAGGAGAAAGGGGACATCTTACACCCATGAATAAGCCTTCCACCTGAGAATATTAAATTTTTTTTTGAGACAGGGTCTCCTTGTAGCCCCACTTGGCCCCATCCAGCCTGGAACTCACTATGTAGACCAGACTGGCCCGATCCACCTGCCTCTGCTTTCTGGGTGCTGGGATTAAAGGTATGTGCCACCACACCTGAGCTTTCCAGAGTTCCATCAGCCCTGTCCAAATCTCTATACTTTAGCTTTAACTGTGTCTCAGCTGAATTCATTTTTTTGAGAAGACAGGGAGACCCCTTCACCTTGTACTAACCATATAAATAAGTCCTAATGCTAACAGGAGTTAGGCTTTAGAGAGGGTTTGGAGAGATGGCAGCAGTTTTCAATGGGAGCAGTGACAAGGCCTGATAGAATTTTACAACATTCACTGAGGTCAACTTGGATAAAGACAACGAAAGCATCATGAAGAATCTTCCAGAAGCCCCCACAAGGGCTCCATTCAGGGCCAGTGGGTGCCTGTGCCTGTGCACTTACAGGCAGAAGCCTCCAAGGACCTCAGGACTTCAAGAGTGCATTAAACTTCACAAGGGTCTGGAGCAATTGGTTTCTAGGGAAGCCAGCTGGATGGCCAAGATCTGGAGAGAACTTCTCTCCCTGACTATTCACACACAATTAGTGTAGCTACCCAGACTGGCAGGAACTTGCAAAGCTGGATGGATGAAGGGGCCTAGTGTTTCTTGTCCCTGTCCAATCAGGCCAGCCATTCTCCTCCCTCCTTAGTTGTGCTTTATTTGGAACAAGATAGGAATGAATCTTGCTCCCAAGGAAGCCCTGGTGCTGGGAAAATCCTTTGAGGAATTAAAGCACATCAGGGAGTGGGTTTCTCAATGTCCTTTGTAGGTGATGGGTTAGTGTCCAGACTTTCTGCGTCTGTCCAGGCAGTTGACAACATGCCACATCATTCACTGATCACCAGCTTTCTGCTCTCCTGTTGCTGGCCCTCCGTCATTGGTCTCATTTTTCTTTTCAAGGGTCATGCTCTGTTGTAGCTAGGTGGTATAGAGAGGCAGCCTAGCTCTACCCTAGGGCATCAGTTCATGGACCTAATGGCCTTCCCCCCCCACCCCCAGAGACAGGGTCTTACTCTGTGTAGCCCAGGCTGTCCTGGATCCCATGGTGATCCCCATCTCTGGCTCCCAAGTGCAGAGATTATAGGCATGAATCACCACACTTGGCTCTAAAGGCCATTTTAAAACCAGACACTGGAGCTGGAAAGCAGCTAAGTCAGACAACCTCTTTTATTTAATGCATTTAAGGAAGGCAAGGGACCCACACAAGTTTACCACAGCTGAGGGCTACCTTATAGCTATACCCCTACACCCACTTCAGTTCTTGCTGGAACATACACACACCAAAGTCCAAGCCTCATACACGGAAATTTACTAATAAGGAGACACATGGAACTGTGGTTGTGCCACTTCTCGGTCCTCTTGTTCCAGTCCTGCCCTTGCCCAGCCAGCCAGTCTTTGCAGATGTCCAGGAAGACCTGGGCTTGGCATCCAGACTGGATGCTCTGAGCACTCATGTTGTCTCTAGTCTATTCCGCAAGTGTCTCAATAGCACCCTTCCTGGCTAAGACCATGTTCAGTGGTCCAAAGTTAGGGTGGCGCCTACAACACAGCACTACTTTCCCATGAGGGTGGTCAGATATACCTGCACTATTTTGACCTCTTAAGATTCCACAAGTTCCACTGCTGTATCTAAGACCAAGTAACCCCTATTTCCTCAGGGTAAGGTTGGGGAGGTGAATCCTTAACAGACAAGAGGCAACAAAATTCTAGAGCTGAGTTCTCAGGCTAAGGCCAGCTTATAAACTTGACAAATATTTACGGAATGCCTACTATGTGCTAGGCAATGTTGCAAAAGCTGTGATACAGCCCATACTGGCAAGGTCCCAACACCTAGCCAGGAGTTACCTGAGCATGAAGGTTATGGTCTCCAATCTCTATTTTGCCTATTCATTTATTTCTCCTGTTTCTTGCCTTTTTCCCCCTCCCACCACCTCCCAGGCCCTTCTCTGCTTCAGCAACAGATACCCTCCCCTTTGGTATCCTGGGCCTCTACCCTCCCTGGACTCCTGTCATTCCAGATCTGCTGGTGACTCCTCCTTGAGGGGCCTGGACAGAGCATCCTCTACCCCAAAGGGCCTCAAGACCAGATGCCCACGCTGGTGCTTGATCCGGGCAGAGCTATCACCAAAACCCTTGCCACACTCTGCACATTTGTATGGTTTCTCCCCAGTATGTGTGCGCCTATGTTTAACTAGATCTGAGCTCCGGGGAAACTCCTTCCCACAGAAACCACACACATGGGTCTGGCTGGGTCCGGAGGGTTGGGCCCGGACTCGAGGCCGGGCTACCGTGGGTACAGGGCCAGGTGGATTATGTGGCCGTAGAAGGGTGGATGGTGGTGGTGGTGGCCGGGTACGTTCACCCCGGTGGGTACGGAGGTGTTTAACTCGGGCAGAGCTGTCAGCAAAACCCTTGCCACATTCAGGACAGAGGTAAGGTTTTTCCCCTGTGTGTACACGATGGTGTTTCACCAGATCAGAGCTGCGTCGGAAGCCCTTGCCACACTCAGGACATTTGTGGGGCTTTTCCCCTGTCAGTGGTGGGGGTGGCTCTCCAGCCTGTGGGCCCCCAGGTTCTGGCTCCAAGCCAGGCAGGCCAAAGGGCCCATCACTAGAATGTGAAGGACTTCGAGGTGTCAGGGAGGGGCTGGTGCCAAGAGGTGGAGGTGGGGGTGGACTGGGGATCAGGGGGGCTACAGGGTAGCTTGGGAAGCTGAAGTCTTGGGGCTCCATGTGGGTAAGGCGGTGACGAAGAAGGGTAGAGCTGAGGCTAAAGCTTCGGTCGCATTCTGGGCAGGCATGAGGTCTCTCGCCACTGTGGGTGCGGAGATGCTTGACCCTGGCAGAACTATCAGCAAAGCCCTTGCCACACTCAGGGCACAGGTAGGGCTTTTCACCTGTGTGCACCCGCAGGTGCTTTACCAGGTCAGAGCCTCGGGCAAATTCCTTTCCACACACATCACAACCAAAAGGTTTAGGTCCCAGGTGACTACGCTGGTGGCTCAGGAGGCTGCAGCTGAGCACAAACCTTTTGCCACAATCAGTGCAGATATATGGCTTGTCCTGGGCCTTCGGCCCCTGTGTCGCTGCTGTGGCTGCCTGAGATGGCTGCCGACGGGGTACCACTGGCCGGGGAGGCTGCTCCCCTCGGTGTGTTCGCTGGTGCTTTATACGGGCAGAACTGTCGCCAAAGCCCTTGCCACAGATGCCACACTTGTAGGGCTTCTCACCTGTATGTGTCCGCTGGTGTTTTACCAGGTCAGAACTCTGTCGGAAGCTCTTGCCGCATTCACCACAGATAGTGGGACGCTCACCAGCAGGAATCCGAGGCCGAGGAATTTTGGGAGGGCCTTGGGCTGGTGGCCGGGCTCTGTAGGACTTCTCACCAGTGTGAGTTCGCTCATGTTTGATGCGGGCTGAGCTATCCCCAAAGCCCTTGCCACAGACCCCGCACCTGTAGGGCTTCTCCCCCGTGTGAGTCCGCTGGTGTTTCACCAGATCTGACATCTGCCGGAAGCTCTTTCCACACTCTCCACACACTGCAGCTCGATCATTACTAACCTGTCCCCAGCGGGGCTCTCCCAGGATTCGGGGGCCTGAGTCTTGAGGCTGAGGCTTTCCCAGCCCCTCTCTGCGGACCCATAAGTCATCCCAGGTCTGGATGCCTTCAGCTTTGAGAGAGGCATTTCCTACTTCATGACCTGGGGTCAAATCTTCCTCTTCCTTGAACTCTAAGTCCTCCTGTGGGGTATGTTCAAACTCATCCGCCTGAGAAACCTCCATATTCTCACTCCCTAGAACTGGGGAAAGAAAAGGGAGTCACACATTTCAACCTGTGGCTCAACCCAAAGTTCTTCTTTCAGTGCTGGCTGGGCTGGAACCCAGGGCCTCCCCCACTGAGACACAACTACCTCAAGTAATTTCCCAGTAAGACTTCTTTGACGATGGGTGGTCTCAAGAATTTCTCTCCCTCTCTAGTGAACTAGAGCACTAATTATCCATGTCTTTCAGTAATTTTAAGTCCTCTGCTATAGCCCCAATCCTTTTATTTTGGAACAGGGTTTCAATCCTCTTGGCTTCAGCCTCCCAAGTGCTGGGATTACAGGCATGTACCACCCATGTTTTTAATCAACAATTATTAAACCAAACAATACTGGACCCCTAAAATTCTAGGAAATATTATTAGTCTCCTCATTTTACACTCAGGAGGACAAAGAATTAAAATAACTTTCTCACTGGGTGTGGTGGCACACAACTTTAATTCCAGAGAGGCAGAGGCAGATGGATCTCTGTGAGTTCAAGGCCAGCCTGGTCTACATAGAGTTCCAGGCCAGCTGGGGCTACAGAGAGACCCTGTCTCAAAAAAAGACCCCCAAAATTTTTTTTCTCAAGGTTCTAAAGTTAGAATATAGAATAGTCAGGTTCCTAACTTGGGTCTGTGTGATGCCTAATTACCCAAGTCTGTGCTACTACGTTATCTTTATTTAGAAAACTTAGTATGTAGTCTTTCTGCTGTATCTTGTTATATTACCCTATTTTGTATCTTTTTCTTCCAGGTTTGTTTTTTTTTTTTTTTTTTTTTTTTTTTAAAAGGGGTTGTAGCCCCAGCTGTCCTGGAACTCACTATGTAGACTGGCCTTGAACTTACAAAGATCTGCCTGCCTCTGCCTCCCAAGTGCTGGGACTACAGGTGAGGCGTGCGCCACCACACTCAGCTTTTTCTTCCAGTTTTTAAAAAACTGCATAAGATGCCTGAATATAAGTGTACTGCATGTGTGCAATGCCTGTAGAAGTCAGAAGAGGGTGTTGGATTCCCTGGAACAGGAATTACAGCAGGCTGGTAGACATCACATGGATGGTGGGAACTAAACCAGGGCCTTCTGCAAGAGCAGCCAGTGCTCTTAACTGCTAAGCCATCTGTCCAGCCGCTTCCCCAACTCTTTATTTTTTTTTAAAGAGCCTCACTATGTAGCCCTGGCTGACCAGGAACTCAGAGATCTGCCTGTCTCTGCCTCCTGAGTACTAGGATTAGAGGGGTGCATCACCACACCTAGCTTTATATAGCCCAGGCTGGCTTTGAACTCTCTATCCTCCTGCCTCAGCCTATTGCTAAGATTACAGGTATGTGCTGCTACCACCACCACTGGTTGTATACTGTAACTTATAACTTGAATTATCCTATGTATACTCACCCCCCCCAAAGAGATTTAGGGGTGGTAGGAGAAAAAAAAGGCAAAGTATCAATAATTGTGAGTTCATAACAACTATGTTGTGACTGAGAGATAGGGACAGGCACAGGCATTCAAAGCTGCAAAGAGAAAATCGTGGAAGTTTATCTGAAAAAGGATACTGGGACTAGTCTGAGAATCCAAGGTTTGTACCTAACACTAGGCTCAGTAGGGCTTTTAATTAATAGAAATAAGGGAGCTAGGGAAGGTTTTGGGGAAGGGAGATAGGATTGGGTCTGGATTTACACCAGACTGACTTCAGAAATGCATCGTTTAAGAGAAAAGGGCAAGGGGTAGGGGTACGACAACTGCTAGGATGAGCCAGAAAGAGACCTGCAATGGGGCAGAGGCAGTAGGGTGTGTGAAGGCTGGGGGTGGGGAGCTGAGGAAAATGCCCCGTGCGGCCTGGCACACACTAGGTGCTCAGAAACGTGGGCTTCCTCCATTGGTTCTCTGTCCCCCTTGCCCTCTCCAGGTCGGGTTTTTCTGGGTCTCGGCTGAGTAGACCCCAGCACTGGTCCCCACCCAGCTATTACCTGTCGGCGCGGCGCCAGGCCGCTGCCCTCACCTGTGCCAACACCCCTCCGTTGCTCCCTTTCCGCCGCGCCCCGGAGATCCGCGCCCCAGGGCTCTACCGCGCGCAGGCCTGCGAGGGGGACAATCCCGCTGTCAAACAGCCATGTGCAGCCCGTCCTGCCGCTGCCCTCTGTCGGCGGCGGTCTGCAGACCCGGGGCGCGGCACCCGGTGCCCCCGGCCGCCCTGCACCTGCTGCGGTTCCTCGGGTCAGCTCACCTTGGCCGCCACCCTCCGCTCCGCCCGGCTCCTTCCAGAGGTCCGCGGCGGCGGCGGGCGGGCTGGGAGCCACCTTCAGCTCCGGGTGCGGGCTCCGCGCCAAGACGGGAGGGGGTCGGCTCAGCCGTCCCGGGGCGCCGCCGGGGGCGGGACGGGAAGCGGAAGCGCGCCCGCACAGGGCCGCTCTAGGACCCCGGAGGAGCCGCGCGCCCCAGGCCGCCCGCGTCGGTCGGAGCTCGGGGGACCAGGACAACTCTGAGGCGCGAGCGCCGGAACTCGGTGGTATTAACCGTGTGCCTCCTGGGCCAACGGGCGGGGAGGCCGGACACCGGCAGATGTCGCGAGGTCTCAGGACTCCTGCGGCCGCCTCCGGGCACTACCCGCGCCAGCCCCAGGCGGGGAGAGACTGAGAAAGGGATGCAGAGACGGACGGGAAAGGGGCGGGAGACTGCGGCAGACAAAGGGCGGCCGGGACCCCGGGCGGGGCGGGGCGGGGCACCGAGGCGGGAGGAACAAAGCCCGGCTGGGCCGAGGGGCCGACGTGGGGTGGGGGCTGGGCCGGAGCCCATCCTGCAGTAGGCAGGAGCGGGAGACTCAAGACCTACCCTGGAGGCAGGACGCGGGTACAGCGGCCGGAGCTGCGGACTGGCCACCCGAGACAGACTTGGGAACGGAGAGGACGTAGAAAGTCACCGAGGCGCGGTTGGAGGAACCGCCAGCAAAGGAGGCAGAGCCTAGAGAGGAACCAACGGGAGGCAGAACAAAAGACTGAGAAACAAAGGCTGCCAGAAGGACTGGGCATAGATATGTCAGCCTCGCAAAGGCCAAGCCCCGGGAGAGACTGAAAAACTAAACCCTGGCCTCCATCTTGGTGGGGCCGGTGTTCCATTGGACCCAGGCCCTGGAAGCATGATCCCAGGATCCTGTATTCTAGGCAGGCTTTAGGAGAGGAGAAATGGGCTTTTTACTATTCATATATATTAGCGTCTTCTGTTAAAGCAGGAGTTTGAGATGAGGTTGGAACATACATTATTACCCTTTGAATGCCACCAAGTTAAAGAGAAAAGCACATATTAAAAGCAGAGAATTGGGGCCAGTGGGATGACCCAGAAGGTAGAGGCTATTGTTACCAGGCCTAATGACCTAAGTTTGGTTCCAGGAACCCATGTGATGAAAGGAAATAACGAACTCCCCCAAGTTGTCTTCTGACCATATGCATTGCATGAAGGTGTGTCGTGCTCAGCATCCCTCTCCCCCCCCCCCCCCCCCCCCCCCCCCCCGCCCCCACCCACACCCTCCAACTCCGCAAAAAAAACGAACTTTTAAAACCAAAAAAAAAGAGAATAGAGGGGAGGGAGAATTGGCTTAGGGGTTAAAAGCCCCTTCTCTTTTTTTTTTTTTTTAAAATTTTTTTTTTTTTTGAGACAGAGTCTCTCTGTAGCCCCAACTGACCTGGAACTCACTATGTAGACCAGGCTGACCTTGAACTCACAGAGCTCTGCCTGCCTCTGTCTCTGCCTCCCAAGTGCTGGAATTACAGACGTGTGCCACCACACCTGGCAAGTAACTTCAGCTCCCTCACCCCCTCCATCACACCTGCAGAAATCCAGACACACACAAATACACATAAATATTTTTAAAAGGGGTGAGAGAGATTTTGAGATGGGGAGACAGATGGCTCAAAGGGTAAAGAATGGAGACTACAGTTCAGATCCCCAGCACTCATATAAACCAACCCAATGGGAAGCAGACCTGTAATCCCACAGTTCTGCAGGTGACTAGCCAGACTAGCAGAATCAGGGAGCTCTGTCTTCAAATGAGAGACCCTGTCTCATATATAAGGTGGAAGGGTTGGAGAAGACTTCAAGGGCAACTTCAGATCTCCACAAGTATGTACACTCACACCATACATGCAACCATATACTGTACACACACACACGAGAATTGGGGCACTTAAGTGATAGAGTGCATGCTGAGCATACTTGAGACCCTAGGATGGACTCCAGCCAGGGATAGGGGATGGAGAGAACTCTAAGAAACTTGGGGCTGGAAAGATGGCTCGGCAGTTAAGATCACTGACTGCTCTTGCAGAGGACTGCTCTTGCAGGTTTGATTCCCAGCACCTACATGGTGACTAACAACTCTGTAACTAGTTCCAGGTAGAATCTGATGCCTTCTGCATGACACAGGTGCACTTACATACATACAGGCAATACACTCATACACATAAAATAATAGAATTTTTTTTTTTTGTCTTTTTGAGACAGGGTCTCCCTGTAGCCCCAGCTGTCCTGGAACTCACTATATAAACCAGGCTGGCCTTGAACTCACAAAGATCTGCCTGCCTCAGCCTCCTGAGTGCTGGGATTAAAGGCATGC